TAAGATGTGTGGACTTCAACTCCCAGAATTCTGGGAGTTGAAGTCCACACATCTTAAAATGTCTAAGGTTGAGAAACACTGCTCTACAGCTTTCAAACTTACTATAAACTGAGGAGTGCATGAAAGATGTCACAAGGCAAACTCCATGACTTATCTACTTGCATCATATAGTGGGACATAAGACATAAGGGGTTTGCAGTATATCACCATTTTTCCATCATTGTGGCTCCACAGACACTTGTGATTGTAAGCAGTAAAGATACTGCTTTGATTTAAATAGCTTTCTTGCAAAGTGAGATTTTTGCTTCTATTGTGACAGAACTCAGTATGTTTGATAGAAGGAGTGGTGGGAGTTAAGAGATGAACATTGCATGTGAGAACCCAGCCAGACGCATCTGGTGAGCTGTGGCAACTCAAATGTGGTTTTGGCTTACTGTGTTGTATAAGCCCGGCTATTATGGCTTGCAAAAACCAGTGTGTAATGTGTTGGGTGAGCTCATTCCAATAGTGGCTTATTCACTGAACTGATGAAACAAAGCATGGTTTATCATGATTGTGAACTCATTCACTATGTTCAAGTGAGTTTATATCTAAGTAAGCGTATGGAGAGCTTTGTGGCATAATTCTCTATTACTGAAATAGAGCTTTCAAACTACTTGAATGGAAGCTGGGATTGTGACCCAAATACCCAAATGTGTATTGCTTAATATCTAAAGGGCAAGTTAGAGGAGGAACTAAAGTTGTCCATAAAATGCCATTTGTTGTAATTATACTGCCTATCTTCATTCATCTCAACAAACCCTTAGGTACACGCCTGCTCACCTTTGGATTGGGTCTTGAATAAAATCTGTTTGCACCACCACCATCTAGTGGCAGAAATCCGGATTTATTAATTTTTTACCTAATTTTGTGAAATTTCCATTTGTGCTCTGGTTAATACATTTGGTCACATGGTTTATGAAGCTGCTGGCACCTTAAATGGCCACAGTTCTGTGCAATTAACACTATTTCATTGCCAAATTTGAGCATACTTTTGAAACACCCTCCTTCCTTGAGACTAGCAGACTGGCCACCCAGAATGGGCAAAAGTTTCAGGGTGAATCATTTTCTCTAAAGCAGAAACTCTCTATTTTCTGGGCATTAGAAGAGTATCTGGCACTATTGAAACTCAGTTATAGTTCACAGTTCTGTTTTCTGAATTTTGCAAAGCAGTTCACCATAATAGTAAAATATATATATACTAGAAAAAAAGTATGTAGAATCATGTAGGTATTAATTCCTACCTTTGCAAACACTGTACACGTTTGTCAAATTATAAACACATACAATTGGAGAATTGTGCACTGAATGTATAGAAATTTTGAAGGAACTCAAAAGTCTCAAGTTTGACGAATGAAAGTTGGTGTCTTTTCAAACAAGAAACTGGAGAAAACAAAATGGATAGATTCATCTACCCCCACCCCACCCCATGGCTCCATAGTTATTTTTCAACCATGGAATGTTCATTTCTCCTATGCAAATCAGTGGGGGAAATTCTCCAGGGATGAATTTGACAATAGTATCCATAGGAGAATGCAGGAGATAATTGGCTAAAAGTTGGAAGGATTTCTGAAGAAATACAGCTCCCTTCCCCACCTTCACCTCCACAGTAACCATAGCAGAAGGCTGACATCATACAGTAGTCATCCCAGTCAGCTGCAGCTGCTGAACGCAAAGGAGTTTGCTATACTTAACCTGGAAAAGAGCCAGTCAAATGTTGATGGCCATCTTCAAATGTCTGATAGGCTGCTGCACAGATGCCACATTCAGTTTGGTTTCTGGACGGGACCCAACCATTGAGTCATACAACTCAACTTTGGGAAGAATCCTCCAGAGCATTCATTCCATAGATTGCTAGAACTGGAAAATCATTAAATTTCCAGTTTAGTTTGCATCCAGCTCTCTCCCAGTCCATCCCTATATCTGGACCAGCACAAGCACACATGCCGCTCAGATTAGCTTTGAAAAAAAATTGTAAGTGGATGTTTATTTATCAAAAATCAAGAGTTAACTGGCAAAATGGGGCAGAAGGCAGGGAACATAGACATGAATGACAGGCAAGAAATAAAAGGGCAAAGGACAATCACAACAATCTACATTATGCATATCTATATATCAAAAAGCACAGAACTTTTCAAAGCCACTAGAAACAATAACAAACACGGACAATCCCAAATGGATTCCAACTTTAACCCTTTTATACGCGAAGGAGTCGCAAAGTAGATGGAAAGAAGGACACCAGATGATCCCTCCTCTATTCTGCACCATGCAGGAAACAATTTGGTGGGCTGGAATGATGTACCTAAGACCTAAAAGGGTTATTTGTTGTTCAGTCATTAAGTCGTGTCCAACTCTTCGTGACCCCATGAACCATATCGTGCCA